GATCTTGTACTTAACTAAAAGTAGAATTGCTCAGATCTTATACTTCAGTAAAAGTAGAAGTACTCAGATCTTATACTTCAGTAAAAGTAGAAGTACTCTGATCTTGTACTTGAGTAAACGTAGAAGTACCAAAGTGTAGGAATACTCTGTTACAAGTATAAGTCGTGCAATCAAAAATGTTACTCAAGTAAAAGTACACAAGTATTAACATCAAAATATCCTTAAAGTACCCAAAGTAAAGTATTCATTGTGCAGATTGGTCAATTTCAGAATAATAAATATGATGTGTTTTATAATGATTGATCATTAAAGTGTTCTCAAAGCTGGTAAAGGTGCAGCTAGTTTGAATGACTTTGTATACTGCAGGGTAGCTTGAGAATTTACTCCAGGTGGAACTAAAGTCTGATTTAAGACTTGATTATATTTCACATCATTAATCAAAATCTGTAAAGTAAGTAAAGGTATTAAATAAATGTAATGGAGTAAAAGTACACCTACATTTACCTCTGAATTGTAGTTGAGTATAAGTACAAGTTCTAGAGAGATCACGCCGCCGGCCGCGTTAAGAAGTTGAGTTGTAAAGATCGGTAGTAAGTCCCTCTTGTACCAGATGAGGAATTTCCGTACCGTACGAAACAAAAAAGTTTGTAGGTATATAGTAATTATAAGTAATAGAAGAGATGGACATCATTACTTGAGACCATTTGGTGATAATAATGCACCGTAATATAGGTGGTTGTTGTTAGTACGAATCTCTATATGTGGGTCACGACAATTCATCGATTCATCTAATGAGTCATTATTACTTGTTAAAACTCGTATGGAACATTACTAAAATTCTTAGTGCTTGAAATGAAAGTGGAACTCATAAGGTNTCATCACGGCAGCATTTAGTTTAGACAGTAGCTGCCGGGTCCCGCATGAGCTCAGACCTCTCCTTTTTAATTTTTTATCAAGCTTTATACATAAAATCAGCACTTTAGAAACATGAAGTGAAATAGAGGGATATGAGGCATGGCTAGAATGGGTGATCTGTTTGGTATTTTGAGCAAAAATCTTTATAGACATGTTTTTTATATATTTGTATATATCTGAGACCTATGCTATTGCCTAAAAATAGCATGATAATGCTATGTATTTGTACTTGATCATAAACAACATGCATTAACTCCACACACTGCAAGATAAGATTAAAAATGATTATTCAAATAAGTCACATATTGAAAGGATATCTCGGCTGTCTCTCAGGAACCTCCTCCCTCAAATCATCAGGAGAAATATCCTTTAAAAAAAAAAGACAGATTTTCAAAGTACAGTCTCTCTGTTGTGTCATGTTCTGAGTAAAACTTTATCTAGATTAGCACAAAGTTTAACTTTTTAAAGCTGATGCAAAGCGATGTGTGAGAGTTTAATGGCTAACTTACCTCGTGCTCTTCTTCAAGAATCACCAGCTGCTTGTCTTTATCGATCTTCACTGAGGGGCAACAAATAATAAATTAATGTTAATACAAAAATTATACATGGTAAGAATTAAGTATGAAAAATAATGAAATACTAAAAGGTTGAATTAAAAAGAAACCTGGCAAAATATATTAAGATTTGTGTGCAGCTATCCTATTTCTGTTTGACTTTAATCCTAGTGTCTTCGTGTTCCCCCCTTACTTTGGTGTTCACGGTCAAATTTGACCAGTCCTGTTTTAACTGCTATTACATTAACACAAAAACCATTAATCATCAATAAATTTCATTCAACACCCTTTCAAACTGTACATATTGTATCAGACTACTGGTATACATGAAGAACTGCAGTAAATATACAAAGAATAGACACTGAACATGTATTGCGTGTGCCAGGTGTGATCCATGTGGGGGGATGGGCACATAAGGGGGGAACACATCTAGAGAGTGTGTGTGTGTGTGTGTGTGTGTGTGTGTGTGTGTGTGTGTGTGTGTGTGTGTGTGTGTGTGTGTGTGTGTGTGTGTGTGTGTGTGTGTGTGTGTGTGTGTGTGTGTGTGTGTGTGTGTGTGTGTGCGTGTAAGGGGGGTTTGTAACACCATGGGTGTTACAAAATTGACTAAATCATCCACAATTCAATGAAAGTGGTGATCAGCAATTGTATATGTTCAAATGTCTACTGTGAAGGATATCATAAAGCCTTGATGCAATCGAATGTAAAACAAAACAGTTATGATTGATGAAAATAGTAAACCGGTCAGATTTGACCCGAAGACAACAGGAGGGTTAAAACACATTTATAAACATGAGATATTCGCAGCACTCACTAACGATGGCGGCGTTATTCGTCTCCTTCCTGAAACGAAACTTCTTCAGCTTCTTCACCAGATCCTCGTCCACATCACACACCACCAGTGATTCACTCTGATGGAAACAGGAAATACATGCACTTACAACTAAATACAATGACTGATATTATTAATATTGAGAAAAGTGCTGCAGTAATGGACACATGTTTGGTGGACCTTGTGTAAATGTGTCTTTTGTGTATATAGGATATACATATTTGTATATTGTATAATTGTATTTTTGTATTCGAGATTGTTGGAAACGTCATTTCGATCCATCTGTCTGTACACACAAACTGAAAGATTGACACTAAAGTTCACTTTGACATTCTTTTTAGGGAATCTTATCCTGAAATCTTTTCTGCACTTGTGTTGGGATCCATTTATTTTAAACTGATGGAAATCTGTATAGCTGATAAATACCTTTTTGAACTTTGGGTTTTCATTACTTTGTTTTACACCGATAGACATTTGTATTACTGACAGACGATTTTTAAGTCTTGGGATTTGTGTTATTTGTATGTTAATGGCATCATGTGTACTGTAGCTTCAAGTGGTTTCATGCAAATAATTGCCCGACTGTAAAGCGATACGTCAGCATCTGAATTAGCAATAGTAAAATCTTATTTACAATGTCCAATAAATCACCTCTGGCTGGAAGAGAGCTCTCTGCTCCATAGTTTCTCTTGTAATAAAACCACGTTGTACATTTTACACATATATAACATTTTCAATATTTAATATTAATATTCCATAGGTCATATATGTATGTATATATTTGTATTTATAATATCTTGTCAAATTCAACATGTATATTTTCTATTTTCTTTTGTTGTTTACTTCTAGTTTTGTTTTATTGTAAAATGCCTAGTCTTTTATGCTGCTGCAACAACAAATCCCAAATTGGGATCAATAAAGTATCATCTTATCTTATCTTATCTTATCATATTTGAACTATCTTTCTGCAGAAGTTCCAGTCTGACCCACAGGCTTTATTTAGACAGAACACACAACACTCCAGTCTCAACAGGATTGAGTCGTCACGTTACATAACTGCAGCACAAAAAACCTAAAACTCTCTGCAGACTCCCCTCTATAATTACACCTTCCTGCACAGATGGCTGGTGGGAGTGAGGATTTCACTGAGCTCACACAGATCTCTGCAGATTAAACAGGAGAGTCTGTGGCTGGGAAAGAGGGCGAGGAGAAGCAGGAAGAGGGAAAGCAGGATGCATGCACGAGCAAATGATGGGGCAGGACAGTAAAAGCAGGAGGTGGCCACAGGTTCACTTCTGGTTTACATTCCTGCAGCCACACTGACAGCTAGCTCACTGCTATCAGCTAATTCAGCCCGGAAATAAGACTATTCTGTTCATTTAAAGCATTTCATGTGTAAAGGTTAGACACATCTTTGGCTCTGAAGAATGTCGAGCTGTCATGATACGTAGTCAGAAACATAACTCATCATGATAAGAGATCTAGTGTTGAGAAAGCTCTCCGAACCCAGACGTGTTGAAACCTATGGTTGAAACACAGAAACAGCTTCGAAAAACTAACCAGGTTTAGCTACATAACTACAGGAAGCACTTAAAAATAAAAGCATTCATGTCTGATGCGATAATACATTGTTTTGTTTGATGGTAAACTTAAAAAGTAAACCAGTTTATTAAGTAAGAGTTGTTTACTGATATATATATATATAGCACAACTAGATTAATTTGTATGTATGTATATTGCATATTATTTTGTATTCTTAATATTGTAAATCACATTATAATATGTATTTGCGATAATTACTTCACTTGTTTTTACAGTATTCAAAAAGGTATATATATTGCTGTTTTACGTATTAAAAATTGTACTTAAGATTTTCTTTATCAAATGGTGTTATTTGCTCTAATTTGTTGCGTTCATGATTTTCTTCAATGTTTCTTCGTAGTTTTATTTTGAAATCCATAACCGGAAGCGCACCCTTTGTATTATGGCTAGCTTCACGCTGATACAATGGACGGAGGGTGGAACTCATGCTAGGCTAACAGGCTAGCGCTAGTCAATCTGCCAAACCTCACTTTTTCCTCAATAACCCCCAGAACTTTGCATTAATTAAAAACACACTATTAAGGGGTGGGAAACCAGAAGGGGAAATAACCTCATATACCTCGGAACAATAAGGAATAACTTACCATTATTGTAGCGTTAAAGAGAAATCCCTGATTCTGCAGCTGCTCTGAATGGTAGAGACGCTTTCAATGTTTTTTTTTTAACTTCACATCATCTTGTGACTGGTTTGACCAATCAGAAACAAGCACCCCTCCCCTTTTAAAACTTGGTCATAAACCTCTGCTCATACTTTATTATTACACACTGTGCTTTAGACATGTTGTTTTTATATAAGCTTGATTTAAAAGTAAATTATTTAAAATAACCTATCCAACACAATGAGGTAAAAAAAAGTACTCAGATCTTGTACTTAAGTAAAAGTAGAAGTACTCAGATATTGTACTTGAGTAAAAGTAGAAGTATTCAGATATTGTTATTGAGTAAAGGTAGAAGTACCAGAGAATACTCTGTTACAGTAAAAGTCCTGCGTTCAAAATGTTACTCAAGTAAAAGTAGAACAGTATTAGTATCAAAATGTAGTTATAGTATAGTAAGTAGTCATTGTGCAGATTGGTCCATTTCAGAATAATATATATGATATGTTTTATAATGATTGATCATTAAAGTGCTATCAAAGCTGGTAAAGGTGCAGCTAGTTTGAATGACTTTGTATACTGCAGGGTAGCTTGTGAATTTACTCCAGGTGGAACTAAAGTCTTGTTTAACACTTGATTATATTTCACATCATTCATCCAAATCTGTAAAGTAACTAAAGGTATTAAATACATGTAGTGGAGTAAAATTACACAATTTACCTCTGAACTGTAGTGGAGTAGAAGTACACAGTAGCATACAATGGAGATACTCAAGTAAAGTACAAGTACCTCCAAATTGTACTTAAGTACAGTACTTGAGTAAATGTACTTAGTTACTTAACACCAGTGAAAGAAACATAAAATAATCGTATGTTTTTTTTAAATGTATTTTTTACTTTTGAAACATTTTTATAACATAATTGTCCAACTATAATTGTTTTANATCTTAGTGGATCTTCTCACTTCATCGAAGAGTCCCTCTCCTGCTGGATGTATCAGCGGTGGTATTAGTATGTAGATGTCTACTACTATTAAAGAGTCCTACTCCTGCTGATAGCATCATCAGGTGTATATCAGTATTTAGTGTCTCTACAATTAAAAAGGTTATACATTATTAGGATGGCGTGACATTGACGGAGATTAAATTCTTCTCAGAATGAGGAGAATTTGGAAACTGGAGGGAAACGACTTCTCCATTTAAAACAAACTCATCTACATATTTGAACATAAGTGCTGTTGAATTCAGAGAGTTCATCATTTAAACACAGCTGCACAACTAGACACCCATAGATTCGACTTCCACAACATTGGTGAGAGACATTATAAATTTATCCAGTCTCCACATGCCTCATTTAATAACAAAGAAAAAACACTGACAGCGAAATTAATGAAGCAGACTCTGTGGTACACAGCAGCCCATCAATAATATGACAAAAATTAAAAGGGTAAATCATTCCTGATTAACGTTCTCCAATCCTCACCCTCCAATCTGTACATAATCACGACATATATACTTGAGAACTGGAATGTTCTGCTAGCGATGTTTGGAATTGCAAGTGAGACGTTAAGTCCCTGTAATACATGACAAAGGCACATTGCTGTTAAATGAGGCCGATGGTCTGATATCACCCTCGTTGGGTATGTTCAGTCCCCTCGCAGATATTCACAGTCAGATTTAATGAAAAAACAAAGCCTTGATGGAATGTTGGAGAACAGGATGATTTGATGGTCCTCGTAAACAGAGTTGGGTCACTTTTTTTTCCTGTACCTGCACAAGAAATCCACCCAAAGTTTTCAAAAGTCTTCAAACTTTGCACATACTATTTACCATTCAATCCAAACTCAAGTATGCATAAAAGTGAGAAGCAAAACACAGTTTCTTTATCTACAAGCAGTACTTCAAACTCATGGGATAATTAGACATACCGACTTTATTAAGATCATTGTTAAACTTTAGATTACAGTTACACATATTTCCCATCACGCGACCCCCTCCTGCGTCCCGCGCGCCCGTTCCTCCCGCCCCGCCCGTGCCGGTCCCCGCGACCCGCCCCGGCCCCCGGGGGGACCGCCGTGGGCGCTAGTTATTCATTAACGTATTAAGAGACAAATTGAGCGAATAGCATATGCCAGGTTATTCACTAAGACTTCAGTTTAAGGATCAGGGAACATATTCTAAATTGGAAAATACCCACAAATGAAGTTGTTGCAAACCTTTATGGAGTGGCACCGAGCGAAGACTTGTAGACACTGCGATGCACTCCGGATCAAAGTTACAAAAGAACATATTTGGTGCAGGACTTATCACAGTGTGATAGATGCCTGTCATTTTAGGCATGGGCGGATTTTGCGGGGGGGCAGGGGGGACATTGCCCCCCCTAGTGGCTGAAATATGTTACAGTATTACTACGTCTAAAACTGTTCCAATACAAATATTTCTTTATATCAATATTTTAATAGATGTGATATAATGATTGTTACAATACAAATCTGAATAATATCATGTTTTGTTTGAAATAATTTCATTTTTGAGCAGTCGAATGTTGTGACGTGTGTGTGTGAAGTATGAGGTTAAGGGCAAGTACCCTTGCTTTTTTTTTGCATACAAGTGATTCAGCTATTGTATTACAATAATTAGCAGTAGGCCTAATGAGTATGCAGCGATTTTTAAAATGTCTAATTTCTGTGACGTTTAAGGCGTCTACTTCTGCACTAAGTAGGACACTGGTTAATAATATTGTAGCGTGTTCAAGTAACCAAGGGATATAGTACTTATCTAATAAGTATAAGATGTGCACAGTTATGATACGTTTTACAGTTATGTAATGCTGTTGTTGGGGGGAGAGACCGCCCCTTCCATATGAGTGTGTGTGTACGGCGGGCATGAGGCGTGCATGACGGGACGAGTTGTGTTCGTATGTGGAAAAAGTCATACTCAGTGCGGTGAACGCTGGCTTTATTGCTACTGTATCCGTAGCACCCCACGCAATAGTTGGGACTGTGTACTGACGTCAGTAAAAAAGTTTGCCCCCCCAAGCGCAAATGTCAAACTCCGCCTATGCTTATAAGATCACAGGGATACAGGACCACACATCCTCTCAAAACCTCCATGTTTTGTAATGTAATTTGAGCTAATTCAAAAGGTTTTGAATGAGAACATTTAGCTAAAGAAGAAGGAGAAATGTCCCTACTCATAAAAGAACACTACATCCTTTAGTTTATTACAATCCTTCCAAATCCTAACATCTAGAAATTAACGGTTTTGCCCATGCCAGGAAGGGTATGAAAATTGTCTTTTTATGCTGCTGCAATGAAGAAATGTCCCAAATTGGGATCAATAAAGTACTTCTTATCTTATCTTAAAAACCAGAGCAAAGCACAAATATGGAAAAGCTCAAGTAAATAGCAAGTATCTCAACTCAAGCACAGTATTTGAGTAGATGCACTTGTTCCACACTGGCAGAGTGTTTCTCACCTCTGGCTGTCGGGCTGTGAGATGGCAGTGACGATGGTCTCCACAGCGCTGTCGAACAGCTCGGGGTTGGACAGCGCAGTGAAACAGTCCTGGACCAGCTCATGACTGTCCCCTAACGTCACGTCCAGCCCCGTCCAGCTGGACAGGCAGCGCAGCACCTTTTCCTTCACCTGGTTCGAGGAGTCTTGACTCTGGAGAAGCTGACGCAGCAAGGGACACACCACTGCCCACTCCCCAGCCAGGGCCTCTCTCAGCTGGGCACGACGTGCCTGAGCCAGCCGGCGGCTCTGGAACTCCTCTGGAAGAACGGTGAGCAGCTCCAGCAGAGCGAGGCAGTGTGCCTGAGGGTCCTGGGTGGCCTCTGAGCCTGAGCTGCCCTCAGAATCAGGCTTCTGTGGCTGAAAGGCCCTCACCATGTCTGCCACTGGCTGGGACCAAGCCTGTGGGATTAAGTTAAGAGCCATGGAGGCCAGGGCCACACACAGCCTGGTTAGCACCATTTTGGGTCCGGACGAGAAGAGCAGGATGTTGGAGAGGAGCTGCATCCTCAGGCTGTCGTGCTGGTCTGAGGGGAGGTCGCTCCAGTGATGGGAGATCTTGGTGTGGAGGGTGCTAGCGCCAAAAAACTGAACCTCTGGAAGCTGCAAAGATACAGACACATTTATGAATGGGTCACTACAGGGCCCCAAGTTAACTACAAAGCCCCCAAAATGACAACAAACTAACCCTAACCCAAACAAACTACAAAGAGACACAACAAAATTACAGAGAGATGCAAAACATTCGCAAAGAGACACAATGAGACTACAAAGAGACTCAACAAGGATGAAAAGCGACAACTAAAAATGATAACCAAGAGCAAAAGAGATCACAAACAGACACAAAACAAAAACAGAGACAAAACAACTTCAAAGAGACTCAACACAACTACAAAGACACACACAACAACCTAAAAGAGACTCAAAAAGAGACAGAACGACCTCAAAGAGAGACGCAAAATGACTATAAAGAGAGACAAAACAACACAGACTGAAAATAACTGCAAAGAGAACAGAAGGGAACTACAGAGCCTCAAAATGACTAAAGAGACACAAAACGCTAACCAAAGATGCTTAACATCTATAAAGTTTGCCTCTTCAACATTGTTTTTTCAGCCCATGATCACAATATGGAGATTAAGATAAACTACCTGCTGTTGACCTGTACAAACCAACACACACACACACACACACACCCACACGCACGCACGCACGCACGCACGCACGCACGCACGCACGCACGCACACACACACACACACACACACACACACACACACACACACACACACACACACACACACACACACACACACACAACACATGCCTTGTCAGGGGCCAGCAGGGCCCAGCAGAACTGCCAGGCCTGTGCCGAGGCCTGAGCCTGGGTCAGCCACTTCTGGGCCTCATTCTTACGCTCCATGTCCGGGTCGAAGTACAGCTGGTAGAGAGCCTGGAGGAGGCGAGAGGACCGAGGCAAAGTGAACACTTATACAAACAATCATTAGGTATTATTAAAAGCATTGATAAGATGTCAGATTGGATAAAAGCTTCCAATATCCCTTTACTTCCTGACGAGTAATGACGACCTGTATATTTTCATCATAACAGGTGGATACACGCCTTTTCCCAATCTTTAACACAGGACAGGTGTCATTTTAAGTCATAATTCCTGAGATGATCATGCCCAGTTTACTTGATGTCAAATTGTTTGAATTGTGTCAAATAATGTGTTGTCATAGCAACTAATCCAAGGCACATGGTGTTAGTTATTATTAGGACAGCATATGCTTATAGCTGGTATCATGTTACAAAATGTCCAGTGTGTCTAAACTCCCTTTGGTGAACTACAATTAGCCAACCACCATTCTATTATTTATTTATTCAACCAAACTGCTGCAGAACATTCAGTTACTGTATCAAATCAAATATGTCCATATCAATATGATTTGATGACAAATATGTGAATTTAAATGAGATTTAAATGATTTAACAGACGTGTAGATCAACAGACAGTCACCATGAGAAGTGGCTAAATTATTTTTTAAAGTCACTCACCGACTCCACATTCTCCACCGTTAACTCCAACTCCACCGGGCTGTCTCCCGGATTGGCTGGAAGCTCCATCTGGAGAGAAGGTGTCTTCCTGTCGCCTTTGGAAATCCTTTATAAATTAAAGCCTGATCGGCAAAAAATAAACAATAAAGTGGTTGAAAGGAGGAGAGCCTGTCCTCTAAAGTGTGTCAGAGCACGCTGACAGAGGACGCCGCGGCTCAGCTGTCCACACGGCACACATGTGGGCAGTGCGCTCAGCCATGACGACACACTGACCTCTGCGGGGGCTGGAAAGTTGTTGTCTAACATTACCACCAGCACACCCTGACGCCCATGAGGGTAAATGTCTAGAAACCGACACTGAAGCAAGCCTAATCATCAGGAAAACAGTGTGTGTGTGTGGTACAACAGGCGCTCCTGACGCAGACTACTGCGCCTCTGACGCACTGGCACCTGATTGGAGCAGAGGAGCGACTGCAAACTGATGCATGTCGCTATAGGAATATATGCAGATTAAGAGAAACAAAGCTGGAGAGTTAAATATGAATGTGCAGTGAGATCGGTTTTGCAGCCCGTTCTGCTCCAAACACCGCCCGCATGCAGCCTGCGGAGCGGCCCCACCCCTGCCTCTCTTCTGCCCGACTCCCTCAGGATATTTTTAGCGCTGATGATGCGCCCTTTCAATTCACGTAACGGAAACTACCTCAGAGCCGAGAAACCGTTGAGGAGGGAGGCTTTTGGTCCGGTTTTATTGGTGTGATCCGCAAGGATAACTTCGCTGAGACTGCCAAGGCACACANCCCCCCCCTGCCTCTCTTCTGCCCGACTCCCTCAGGATATTTTTAGCGCTGATGATGCGCCCTGTCAATTCACGTAACGGAAACTACCTCAGAGCCGAGAAACCGTTGAGGAGGGAGGCTTTTGGTCCGGTTTTATTGGTGTGATCCGCAAGGAAAGGCCACGAGGAAGATGATATTTGAAATTAATTTGGTGTTTTGCATGTTGGTGGTGCTTACCGGCCCATCGCAGACAAGAGGTAAGGTGGCATCCCTAGTGTGTGTGTGTGTGTGTGTGTGTGTGTGTGTGTGTGTGTGTGTGTGTGTGTGTGTGTGTGTGTGTGTGTGTGTGTGTGTGTGTGTGTGTGTGTGNCGATTGAATGTTTCTCATAACTCTGTCATTATGCTGCTTTCAAATCCGTGTCTCAGTGCTATACGATACCAGTCACCTCTGTGGAAACATTGGTATAACTGCCTTTTTTTATTTATATTTGAGTGTTGTATGTCTTTTAATAATGGACCAAGAGTCTCTTTAAATAAAGCTGATGATGATGAATAAGCAGCAGACTTTTACTTCTTTATCATTTCTACTGGATCTTAGATCTGCGCATGCGCAATACGGGTCGGAGATTGACCAACCGGCTCCCACTGCTCTGCTGTCTGTTAACGTTGTTAAGAGTGGTGGGAGCGGGGAGGGAGCGAATCTACAGCTTGAGCAGCTGTCAACTCAACATTGTAAATAACCAACCAGTAGTATTAGGTCCACGGTGTTTACATATTTATACAATATGTGTGCTTATGCTAACATCATAAGACAAAAGTTGGTTCTGTGTTGTGTGTAGTGAGAACGCGCTAGAGTGAGGGGGGCCCCCAAGCCAAAGCTCGCTTAGGGCCCCCAAAAGTATAGGGCCGGCCCTGATCCTCACGATCATTTAATGTATCATATGTTCGCCGAATTGACATGAAAGCACTAACAAATATGAATTTGCTATAGTCAACTTCACTAAAACGTTATTAACGTGCCTGAACTCAGTAATTCACTAACAATAGGTTTATTTGTAATGGAGCCTCATCATCTCACCACGGGCCAACAAGAATATGTACAGTGTTAATAGTTTACTGTATTATTACTGTTTAATATTACTGCTATAACCATTGAGTTCATTGTTGTGCAATGATAAAATCAGACCGTTGTTTTTTAAAATAGTCTTTATGAAACTCGGCAGCTCTCAGGTGATTAGCTGATCAGCTGTGTGTGACTCTCTTTGTTTACACACCTAATGTAAATCATGACTTTGTTGGTCCAAAAAATCTACTTCAAAAGGTAAAAAGAATTGGACATAGCAGAAAATGTGTTGGCTAAACTAATCTGTGTGATATTAATGTGAGAGGCATTTTGTAAATGATTTGTCAGATGTATGAATGAATGTCAGAAATAAACAATTCAATCTTAGAATTTAAGTTAATATCAATTAAGGCCTCATTTTTAGATCAATTAAATACATTTTATTTTATTTTTTAGGACCATCTACACACCACACACCCTAATACATTATTCCATACTAAACGGTAAGTAAATGCCTCTACTTACTTATTCCTTTAATGATCTCCACTGCATCAATTTGTGGTCCTCCCAGCGACACAAACGCATCAAAGACATTAAAGAGCACCTAAGAGAAGAAGAAGGAAATGAGGAAAATCAATGATATAATAATAATAATTACGGGACTGATCCACGTCTATTCATTTGAAATGCTTTTACTTGTCCTTATTTGTCCATCTTATTTATATGCAATTTGTTTATAATGGTCTGTCTTTGAATTACTGTACACATGGTTTCCTTGTTTTCTTTGATTTGAGCCCTTCTTATTGCACTTGTGTGATATTATTCTATGCAGATACATTTACCTGACTCCTTGTTTTAAAAGTTAAGAAATAATACAGTGTTTATAGATGAGATGATATTGTCTCTCCCAATTCACAGATTGTGTGCCGTATTTTCTTCAAATAAAGGTGTGTTTACACTCCTGAGTAATAATGTCCATATAATATCATTTAATCTTTGAAGAACTGAGAAAAAAACAGTAGTTTGCTGGTATTTCCTCGTATTTTGATTCGGATTATTGACAGTAAGGTGTGTTAAGTTTAAAGACACTATGTTATTCTTTTTCAGTTCTAATTGTAGTTTCAGCAATGTATAGAAAGGAACTTAATGATTTATAACGCATACAAGAAAAATGTGCTATTAGATCAACCTCCTTAAAGAGCAGAGTGATTCAGGCGAGGTGACAAGACCTCAGTCAGGGTAAAGGTCCTCACTCTGAAGTGCACACTGTTTGTATTCAAATCTGAGAAGTGTACTTTCCAATGATGGATGTCTCAGCAAACTCACAACCTGTTCTGCTTCACAAGAAACAATACAAAACTAAAGCATATAGCATACGAACCACGGTCACGCCGTCGTTGAGCAGCGACTCTCCGAACACCAAGATGAAGAGCACCTCGTTGACGTGGACCTGCTCGAACACGGCGATTACGGCCACGGGGTCCACGGCCGCGATCAGACTGCCGAAGAGAAGGTACTGCAGCAGGCCGATGTCCAGGTCGCCTGCAGCACAGAGATACACCACATGTGGCTTTAGTTGATATATGTAAGAAATCAGGTTCTTTAATTGCCCTACAATCATGGGCCTACTGTGAGACACTTGGCCTCTGGGTTCTACATAGGAGCAAGATACCTACAATTTGCGTGTCTTTGTAGTTCTTATGCATCTTTTTGTAGTTTTGTGTGACTTTGTGGTTATTTTCCCAATGTCTTTCTCCATTTTGCTTCTTTGGCCCCTGGGTGCCCATTCAGGACTCCATCCATGCCTGCAATCTGTTTTTTGCCTTAAAATCCAATGACGGGGCTTGCTGAATCAATCCCTGCCCTCTATTAATTCAATGTTCATAGTCATACAAGCAGCAAGGCTCTATGGATGGCTCAGTACAGTAGGTCTGACATTCCACAGTTTTCATCCAGATTGTAACATCTCAATAACTATTTGATGGATTGCAATTAAATGTGGTTCACAAGGTGTGTTACTAACTATTACAACACTATTTCAGATTATTTATGTCACTGTTCTTTCTTCGTGACACATGCTTGGTGTTTTCTGTTTTTTCTGTTTAGTGTTTTCCCTTTCCTCTTATAATCTCTCCTAACTACCCTCTTGTCCCTAATTAGCAAGTAGCACACCTAATTATTCATATCTATACTATGATACTTGATCCAAGTTGAAAATGTGATGATCCTCCAGTAAGTTCTGGAGTCCAAAACTTGGAAGCAGATGTATGGTCATTGAATTGCTCATTGCTGTTGTTTTCATAACACCAGCATGCATCTATCCATTTCCCCTCATACAGTATCTTTGCATCATGTATCCCCCTCTGTTCCCCCGCCCCTCCCCAGAGGACAACTCTTGCCTCTTTAGCTTATTGTGTCACTATCAATAACCACTTCCTATCTTCCACCCCACTCAAAATGAAACTCAGTGTGACTTAAAGCGTTTGAGGCCCCTACATGTTAAAAGCTGGAATGTCTCTTACCCATGGCTCCTCCCATGTGACACCCCCACAGCGACAGCCCCAAGCTGGCAGCGTTCCAGCAGGTCCCGATGACGGCGTAGATCAGGATGGCCCCCATGTTGCTGAAGAACAGCTTGTTGGGCATGGAGTAGCCTGCGTCCAGGATGATTTGAGGCAGCAGGTAGAAGAAGAACACGTTCGGGGTCAGCGTGAAGGTCTGCACCCCGTCGACACCCCAAATAATCCCCCCCAGGACGAAGCCGAAGCAGATGAGTAGGGCGCTCTCCGGGATGATATTGGTCACATGATGGTTGGACTCAATCACTGAGAGAAGAGAAGAAAAGAGAAAAGAAGGAAAGAGAAGACATGAATTATTGACAAGAAAAACGAATAGGATTGATTGTCGGTTCTTTCATTGCATCATAAATACACCATAAAAACAACGGTTTGTGAGGTTTCAATATTTGCAAATGATCAACTGTTGCACTCGACTGAGAAGGGTCCACTTTTAGTTCTGGGTATGATTAACCATCATGGTGGCGCGTATGAACGTTTCTTAACCCCTCTAAGTAACTAAACACAGACTTTTGCTTAAGGTCAACTAAACTTAATGGTCTGTCAAAGTGTCACTGAAGCTTATTTAATAATCAAACTAACTGAAGCATAAAAGGAGACCCATTTCAAAACGATTTCTGTTTCCAGTCCACAGAGCTCCGGTTTTGTTGTGCCAATATGTTCCATTCAGAAGTATTTGAAGTTATGGAACATTTGGATGAAGGTCTAACATGATGCAGTTTTTGTATTTGTGCTTGAGCCTACAAACTATCTAAGCTGTATCATGTTTACACAGATCTCACTGGATCCGTGTAAACATGATACAGCTTAGATACAGTTTGTGGTGTTCAATAAGAGCAAATATTATACAATGAGGTTGTTATAAAAGGTGTAACACTCTGTGGAATTTCTATTGCAGTAAAAACAGAAGAAACTCTTGTGTTCTCAGGAACAACATGCTGCTTTGATAACACACACTCATGTTCACTCTGCAGGAAGGCACACTGTTCGTTACAATATTAGAGACATATCATGCTGCAATTACAAAAAATACACTTACCCAAGACATCCTTTCTAATTGTTAAAGACCCTAATAAACAATTTCTCAATCATAATTTAATTATTAACAATGGCGTTCTAAATGAACATGAAATAAAACTAAAGTTAGACGTTTTGGATTTGTTAATCCACTCACACGCATTCACATATAGCCCCTATTATGTGTTACTCTGAATAAAAATAGCTTTGATCGATAACTGACATATCATGTCAGGAATTTGTCATAAAGAAACCGTTAAGTTAAAACATTTTTAAGGCACTTAAAGGCAAAAACATATTTGCTCCTTATATTATTTAGAAAGTTACAAAACAAAATTCCATGACAAGATGATACAAATAATTAAAACTTAGACTAACATGCAGAAGAACCGAGTATTACAGGGTATGTTACAAAAGGAACATTGTAGTTATTTGACATTATGCTGGTTAAAAATAGCTCAACATCATCTTGTTTCAAAGGACTCTGTCAAACTGCAACATTTAAACTGCATGATATTAAGCTTGAAGCTTTGCTTTTTATTTCATTGTTATGTTTGTGAGATGAGAAAATATTAGGAACTGGCAGTGGTGAAATGTCATTTAGTACATGTACTCAAATATTGTACTTAAGTACAATGTTGAGGTGAAAGTCAATAAAGTTTAAAATAAATGTATTACAGTCCAGCTCAGTGGATAGAGGAACATTTAAGGCAATGTCATCCACTCTATATGAAGGCTCTCTCAAAATATATTTTTAAGAATAAATAAAATAAATGTGTTAAATACAATATTTAATTATATATTTCTGAAATTGGACCATTTGGCATAAAAGTTCATTTTAATATTGGTTTTAAGTTTAGTTTGATGCTAATACTTTTGTACTTAAATGTCATTTTAAATGTAAAACCTTTACTTCTACAATGTGGTATTACTACTTTTACTAAAGTAAAGGAGAAGAAGATTTCTTACAAAGCTGGAAATCGGTTACTTGTAGTCCATATTTACCAGCCTACATGAAAAAACACTTTCTAGCACATTTCAACTGTTTCTTACATACCCAATTTACCCACACAAGCCACCAATATCCATAACGCAATAACATAAGGAGTCTCCACATGGTGCCATTTAAAAGTCACGACGGGTATTCCTGTGATGACGCTGAATCCATGGCCGTGTTCAGTCTGATTTGATTTTAACTCAGATGGCGGCTTCGGGTGGGGTTCTTGATGCGCCACGTCCCCCTTCACCTTTGTGACTCCTGAGATGAAGAAGATGAGCAACACTGGCCCCAGCAGCCAGAGGTGTACATACCCACAGCGTTGCATTTGACCAATTTAATTAAAAAAAACAGAGAACCAAAAAAAATGAGTCCTTTATCTCTGATGTCAGGGAGGGCAACTGTCTGTCCCAAGGCCAGACTGAAGTGTGTCACACCTCTGATCCCTCCTTCTTTTCTGCTTCCTCTGTCTTACTCACTCTAGTTTACGATCAGTTATTATCTTTTCACTACTCTAGTGCTCTATCCTTCTATCTCAGACTGTGAATTTGTGTCCTTCCACAGTCTGTGGTCAGCAGTGTTCAGGCAGTTCAGAAGAGTGCAGAAGCCTCTATGACCAAGGTTGTGAGTGTGTGTGCGTGTGTGTGTGTGTGTGTGTGTGTGTGTGTGTGTGTGTGTGTGTGTGTGTGTGTGTGTGTGTGTGTGTGTGTGTGTGTGTGTGTGTGTGTGTGTGTTTAGGTTGGAAGATTAAGGGATGAGTAACGGATGTCCAAGAAAGGTTTCTGGTTATTCAGTCACGTTTGGAACATTTAGTCATTACTCTGTTTGGTCTTTCCGGTCTCAGATCAACTCAAGTTTGTCATGTGTGTGTCTCAATGGCATTGAGGGAGTTAGTGATGGAGCAGAGGTCATTTGATGTTAAGCCAACACCTGTCTGTGTGTGTGTTTGTGTTTAGTAACATTTTCAAGGGCTTCATCTCAAGCAATGATTGACGCTGATGTTACTCAATCCTGGTTAAAGACTCCCAGTTCTTGACGTGATAGTCAAGAAAGCCGTCTTCTGGCAGTCCGGAAATAAACTTCAACTATCTATGATTTAATGGAGCTACGATTGACTTACTGTACTGTAGTAAACGTATCCCATTATATGATAAGGCAAGGCAAGGCAAGTGTATTTATATAGCACATTTCAACACAAGGCAATTCAAAGTGCTTTACAAAAATGAAAGACATTAAGTGCTATATAAATACACTTGCCTTGCCTTGCCTTATCATATAATGGGATANACAGTCAAGTTCACGTCTCTGCTGTCGTTTCTCTGTATACATTCACACAGTAAGCGCACTTTAATGCGTTTACTCACTTTATGCGTGTCACGTCCATTCCTAAGAAATTATCTCAAATTGGCGTCTTTTACCTCGAGGCAGAACAGTGTGTACAGCTAAGCTTTACTTTACAGTTATAACTAAGTCATCTTTTAACGTCACCAAGATGTGCAGACTTCACAGGGGTTAGGATTTTATCGACCAGTTATTAGGTGAAGACATTGTTAAGCATTTTGTTTTCTGGAGTCTTGATCTATTTGGTTTCATCGACAACATCATTTTGTAGATGTTTGATGCGCAATCCTGTGCTCAAAATAACCTCGGAGGTATCAGTTATCCAGAGAGATCCAGTTCATGGTGGATGTGCTGTTTATCAGTTTGCTGTTGGAGACGTTTTCTATTTCACCTCCCTGAAAAAAAGACACCGAAGAAAATGCTGCTGGACTGTTATTTAGAAAAATTATTAGATAAAGTTCAACTATGAGGTACTTTGTTTTGCATTTTTACATTTTTATCTTTTTCCATACTTTATTAAAGGACGTTTGCATTCATAGGAATGATGTAAACATATACTTTTCAAACCTACCAAACTTGTAAGGACTTAATCGACCCATTCCTTCTGGGATCCAATCATGAAGTAAGTACAATACAATTTTACAATTGACCAAACACTAATATTGGGGAAAAGACAAAAATAGGCCACATACAAATATATTAAAAAAAAAGATGCAATAATAATAAGAATACCTTATATTTATATAGTGCTTTTCTCTGACTCAAATACACTTTACAGTGTGAGGGAGGGTAGACAAACAAGGACAGGCAAAAACAAACAACAACAAAAAATAATAAATGTTTATCTGGCAGCTAGGTGTATCACATACATTGCTTTACATATTGAATTGATGGAGCTCACACATCTTACGTTCTTGAGCTGGAGCAATGATAAAACTTCCTGGTCCCATTTTTTGAGGCTAGGAAGTTTCTTAGATTTCCAATTCAAAATATTTAGCATCCATGTTATGAGGTTATTTAATGCTATTGCTTTCTTTACGCATTTGTAGTATAAGTTTATATAGTTGATATTTCCAAGGTACGTTGGGTCTAAAAGGCACGTATTACAAAGACTCGAAAGGCATTCAAATTTAAATACGAAGAGACAGGAAGGCGTTAATAGAGGGGTATATTCTAGCTAGTCTTTCATTGCAGTAATGTACCCTGTGGAACTTGCATTGGTATTGTTGGTCCAAATACCTACATGTTATGGAAACTCATTGTAAAAGTATGGAAATGTAATATTGGCCCTCATGAAGGCTCCAGATGTTCCTCAAGGCCTGTGATCTTCCTAAAGGTTTTTGCTGCTGCATTCAGGGAAACATGTCCTTTTTCTTCTCTTTGATTGACACTCTAAGAGGGGAAACAACGAGAAGGCATAATGTATTTCTGATTTTGGTCCTCTCGCTAAACACTCGGGACAGGTGGTCATGTTTGTTTTTATTTTACAAGGACCTGGCAAGCAGCTGGATCACATTCTTAGACACGCTGAGGTTTGGAAAAAGGGTAAAAGCAACAACTCAAATTAGCTTCAGGTTCACAGGAGAGACGCTGGAGAACGGCACTGATATATTAATTGGTTTAATTGGTATAATAATTTGTTGAACAATTCTACTGATTGGCAACTATATATTGAATCTGTGAACTGACAGCTGTCATTTAACAGTGTATTGCATTTAGGCCTTAAACTATGAAAAATGTCGATTAGAAAAAAAAAAAGTTCAGTAAGTTGAACTGTTGAAAGAGAGGTTTAAGGAGTGAAATATACAAACACATTTCACAGCTGCAGAGAATGAGCAGGAAAACATTTGGTTTGGGCATAGAACCACTTCCATGTTAACTTTAAAAGAGACAGTTAACAGACCTGCTAGCATGCTATTAGAGGCTACACTTAGGTACGGCATTGTGTTTAAACTAAATGCTAATGTTGGCATGCTAACATACTCACATGTACAATGATGATGATATTAATCAGGTATAACATATTTGCCATGTTAGCATGCTAACTTGCTAATTAGCATTAAAGCGATATAAGGCCGATGGGTATGATGCAGTCCTGACAATGGCCCCTCGTAAAAAGTAAGGAAATACAAGCCATCCTGAGGGACAGTAATGTTTGTATAGGCCTGGTTGTTGGAAAAAAGTATTCTCAATAGGCTACTCAATCATCAGTAATGTACATAGTTATGCCCCCCTGTTTGGTCAGAAACTTTTCTTGTTGGGTCCCCATTGGGTAATTGGAAATATTTTCGAGCGTCCTAACCTGGTTCCCACCGAGATGGGTAGAATTAATCTGATAATAATGACAAAATACAAAGCTCCAACTATAATTGCATATGTCATTATGGATTGAACATGAAAAAAGTGCTTATATGTGCCAATGATCCTGTGCCACTGTGAAACAAGTAGGCCTACTTATTTTAATAAAAATATATTGATCAACATTAACTACTATTTGTACAGCAGGTTGCAAATAATCACATCACTGTTCCATTCCTATTCCACACATAGCCTACCTATCAATGACTTTAACGGTACTACTACTCTTACCGATGCTGCTTATTGATCCGGTACTTTAACCATATTTGTATTGGTTATTTTTATTATTTTTTAAGGAGAAAAACTAAACATATTGGAAACAGAATTAACATCGCTTTATTCAATCTATAGTGTGGATTATGGGCTGCAAGCACACATGACATACCTGCAGTGGTGGTAGTAGCAAGTTGATTTACTCAGATACTGTACTTATTTTTAAGTACTTAACTTAAGTATTTTAACTTTTGCGTCTTTGTACGTCTACTCCACTACAATTCAGAGGTAAATGGGAACCATGAATGTCAGTTTATGTTAAAACAATTTTGAAGAATTTCACTCCAACGCAACATTTGTTTTCATGTCATTCCCATTTTCTATCTTCCCTCGTTTGCTGTCAAAACTCCAATGCAGACATATAATACAAGGAACATCCTGGTAGCACTATAGGAAAGTCGGTGGGATCACCAGAGTCTCTGGAGACTACACATTTCTGTTCTACATAAAAGAGCAATCCATCAAATACATTTTGACATATCACTGTAAAACACACAGTCAGAAAAGGAAGCAATTTTATTCACATTTAGTTCTGACCGGACCGTCATTGATTTCAAAGCCTACAAAAAATGAATTTAATAGAATAGACATGGCATGTTGGGAGGTAAATGCTGAACGACATTGCTTGTGCTTGTATTGGCTTCATTTATCTTATCAGCACATCAGAATAGACATGTTTCAATGTGTGCTCCTTCTGGACTAAAGAGACAATTATACATGTCTGATTGTCTTCCTTTCCTGGTTCCCATTGAGACTCAACAATCAAGCGTTTGGCAGCCGTGTGTGTTTTTACTCCGTCTCTGAAAGCAGACCCTGTTGCCCCCATGTTCCTCATCAATTGCTCTTATAAATGGAACCATTGGCCTCTCCAGTCTGCTGGCTCTTCCAATACTAAGTCTGGGGTTTATGGGTTTGAGGCTCTTTCTACACCCTTTCCCCTTCCACTGACCACAAAGTGAAAACCTCAGACTGCATACTTGATGATCTTTGAAGCTCTCCGAGATGGAGAAGAGAAGCTATACAATTTGGAAACGTTAAGAGCAAGATATCTTGTTTTGACATTTTAAAGGTCCCATGTCATGCTTTTCCGGTTATTACCCATCCCCTTGTGTGTTATGTAGCTTTTTCTGCATGTAAACGGTCTGCAGTCACAAACCCTCAAAGTACACCCTGTAGCGAGTAAAACTCTAACACAGAAAAGACCTGTCTCTGCTGCCCCAGAACGCCTCGTTGGAGATTTTTCTTTTTCCATTTGTTTCTTCCTGAGTATAGTGACGTGACCATACCCAGGTCCAAATGGACCAATACGTGGAGCTCCTCACACACACACACACACACACACACACACACACACACACACACACACACACACACGCACACATACACACACACCCACACACACACACACACACACACACTCACTCACTCAGCCTTATCTTTTCTCAGCCACGGCTCCGTGGATCTCCACTCACAGTGTGCTCAGGCTGAGTTACTCGGTGTCTCGCTGCCTCGCAGACCCCACGCAGCAACCAGGAAACGACACCAGTAATCCAGCTCACACTGTCCGCTCCTCGAGCGGA